ATTAATAATCTTTTTTTAACAAAACACGATTATTATTACAGAAAATTCTTTGCATTGACATGACCGTCAGAATTCACCAACTTCAAAATTCAAGGCGTGGAAAATATATCCGAAAATATCTGATTGCTCCCAAACCCGTGCAGTAAAATCGCGGAAATGTCCGAAAGTGGCTCGTATCCGTGGAAAATGAAACTGACGTGGTAAAGTGACCCTTCCCGCGCGCTAGATCGGTGTGTAATTAGACATTTTATAGACGGGAGTAGAAAAAAGCTGTAATGATATTTTTTTGTCAACATTGCTATCATCTTTTGATATGTTTCAGTTAAGTTTAAACGGTTTTAAGAAGTGCTTAAGAAATGAAAAGATATCAGGGATAAGAAAGCAAGGAGGGAAAGAGCATGTAATGGAAGATAAATGATCAAGTGACTATAGAGTTACCTTTTGTTTTTACTTTTTTTTTGCTTCGTATGTTTACTCTTGTATTCTACTGTAAACTAATTGGAACTTTATACTGTCTTGCAATAGGGTGGTGGTAGAATGCCGCCTGTTGAACGGGCTCTATTTAAATAAATATATATAATAGAGAGTATGCCGATGTATTGTAGATGTGGTTGTACCTACGTTTATTTCACATTTTTATGTTCCATATTTATTTGCTGCCAATTTGAGTGGAATAATTGTTTTAAGTTGGTCTTTAGGATGTATTAAAATCTAGAACTCTAAAACACATTTATTCTGCTTTTTAAAATACAAAATTATTGAAAAATGCGTATAAGAACCTAGTCTTCAAAACAAAACTAATCGCTTTAGTTTTTAGCAAAATGACGAAAAAGTTAATTTAAGCATCAAATTACACTGTGACTCAAGTTAATTTTAGACTCCTTCGTGTGAGTCAACATGTACGTCTCCGCCGCGAATCACTAAAAAATCCTTTATTTCTCATGACGTAGCAGGTCTGGTATTTCGATTCGACTTTAACTGCTGCTGCATTTGCTTTCGGTGGTGAAATGTCCTTGCATAATTTGCATATAAGATGGGTTGAAGAAAGTGGTTCTTTATTACATTTTTTTATGGGGATTAATCTGTCACATGAAATACATACAGATTTTTGAATCGCAGTTTGAAATCCACACATCAGACAATATAATTTTACATCTTCCGACGTTAACAGCAAAAGTTGTTGTAGCTGAATCTTGTACATTTCCGGGTCAAAAGCATTATCGAAACTTCTAAGGGTAAATTTATGTTCAGGGTTAGTTATGGTATCAATAAAATATAATACGAACACTCTTTTTGTTTTGGAATGTTTTTTATTTCCTGAACTCTCCATGTGTCAATATTCAAATCAATTCCCATCATGTGTTTGTTGCAGAAGCGGAAGAAACTGGATACGATTTCCTCAATATAAGAAACTGAGATTTTTGAGATCGGTGCTGAGTTCAGAATATACCCAATTTTTATTCAATATCTCTTTAATGGTCTGGTTGAATATATGGGACGTGAGATTTTTTTCATTATTGGGGGTAGTTTTATGTCTTCTCCACCTTTTCAAGATGGTTGAGCAATACATCATATTAAAGCTCTCCTAAGTGGCTCTTCAATGATCTAATTCGATATCTGGGACGTCAGATTTTTTTGAGATTCTGAAATAAATAAAACGAATTTTACGGCATTTCATTATTGGAGATGGTTTTATGTCTTCCCGACGGTTTCAATGATCTGGTTGAAAATCTGGGACGTCAGATTTTTTCGAGATTGCGAAATAGTAATAAAATTATTATTTGGGGTGATGCGAACTGAAAAGTGGTAATTTTCTATATAGCAAAATTTAATATGCTTTTTGGGAGTTCCGTGCTTACTTTCCTGGCACGTTCACAGGAATACATTTTTTTGTTAAAGTAAATAACGAACTGGTCCACTGTAATATCCGAATCCAAATTCAAACCTAACTTTAACCACATCTTGTTGATGCTGTTTCTTGAAATAAGTCCTGCAAGTCCTGTGCCGCTACGTGAGTGGTGATGTTTTTGCTTGCTTTATTATGAGAAAACGTTCAATTAATTCGAACACGACATAATGATGCAGACGATAAAAAACAGTGGATTGCATGACACGGACATTAGAATCACAACGAACTTGTGCTATAAGAACACACAGAAGCTCAGTCCACTAAAACAGGCATTACCTTACAACGTGGAGTGAGACAAGGCTAAATTCTCTCTACTCTAATCTTCAACTCATACTCGGAGGAAATACTCTTCAAAAACACCGACGATGGAATCCTACTTTACGGAGAACGCAGACGACACTCTAGTATTTGCAGACAACCTGATTTAGTGGTATTTGTAGATGAACAAGATAAACAATGCCAGTGGACAATATGGTCCAAAAATAAACATAAGTAAACTCACGTTCATAATCATAACAGGACATCCGAAACTGTCAACTGTTTATCAGACAGAGTGTCCAAATTCACTTATTGGTAACAATAATTTATGTGCACTAGGACCACTCTCGAAATATTAAATGCAGAGTAGAAAAAAGAAGACAAACTTTTATTACAATGTCAAAACTTTTTAAAAGGCACAATTTGCACCTAAACATTAAAGTCGGAATGATTCCAAATTACGTTTTCTCGTCACTCCTCTACGAAGTAGAGTCATGGACATTGGCAGAGGCAACCGATAAAAGACTTAAATTATTTTAAATGAGGCTATACGGCAGAATTTTCAAAATATCCTATAAGTATTAGAATACAAAATACACTGTATACTTCAATTCACTGACCGTACCTTTTCTTACTGATTGGCAACTATTCAGTAACTTAATAACATTGATGGAAGCTAATGCTGCCTTGGCTTAGAAAATGCTATCTTTAAATATAAGAATCTTCAAATCTCCCCCATAAAAAAGAATCTAGAGGATTTTGCAGGCCACTAGTTCTAATCTAACATTGTCCAAACCCTTCATTTCAAACTTCGCTTACAATGCTAGCGTTGGGAGCGGGGCAACCATCTTGCTGATAGTTTTGGTTAGTTTTGGTTAGTTTCCTCCAAGAATTAATGGTAGGTCTTCCAAGAATGGAACAACAAACAACAAAAGGAAAATTCCTACCCAACATGAATCCAAAGCGACTTTGCTGATTTTAATACACTACAGCATGAGAATTGTTTATGCTCCAGCGATAAGGATTATGTCAACATAAACACAACCGTCACCAGTATTCACACTCCATCGACCAGCAGTGATACCCGATGCACACGGGACTTACATTCAAGCTGGTAGTTTTAAGAATTTTATCATTACTCTCTTGATAACGGTTGAATATACATGCCAACCGAAATGTTGAGATATAATTTAAAAAGAAAGGCAATAAAAATCCAAACCGTTTTAACAACTACTTGCCTACATCCTACAATCAAAAATTGAGGTACGTAGTTACTATTTTCGGAAACATCGAAATTTCAAAGTCACTACTATTTAGTGCATCATTAAAATATATTTAGAAATTAAAACTCACCAGTTCCACGAAATCCATAATTACAACTTCGGAATAATTGTTCCATTGGAGTATACGATCAGCATATAAAATTTTTTTATTAAACCCCGCTAAAATTTGTAAACCAAAAATACCATGCATCGAATTGCGTATTTGTTTTATTTTCAATTTCCTTACCTCCGTTCCGTGTTTATATTTGTCCGACATACACGGCAATTTTAAAAGGAAATTGATAATTTTGGTATCGATTACAATATCCGCGCGCTAATGGGTTGCGTTTCGTAATCGATACGAGCCGTTTGTTAAAAACGCAAAGGGTCAAAAATTACGAATTTGGTTTTTCTTTATAGAAAAATGTAAGATTTAAAATAGCTTAGGAAAACAATGGGTTTTCAAACAAACTAGACAGGACGCGTGCCTGTTGTGCATTTTACTTCTGCTTTTAGACTCATTAGGCGCCCATATATTGTATGTATGTATAGGGTACATGTCCGATGAATCGGATGTCGGGATACCGTACGTGAGATAATAAAAATAAAAACAGGTACGAATACCTAGAATAGGAAAATTCTTATTTATTTTAAATTTAAATATCATCAAATATAAAAAAAACAATTGCTATTATTTAAAAATTTCTTTGCTTTTCACTATTTGGAAGTTGGTTCTCTCTGAACCCTTCGCAATTCAATTATATTGTGCGACTAATGTGACTACAAAAATAAACATTACTATACCGGTGTTATTTAATGAGAACTTGATAATCCACAGGGTTATTTTGCTAAGTAGTTGTAAGCTGAAAAGTTACAAAGAGAAAGTTACAACCACGTGGCCTAAAATTTTATTTTGGTTTCATAAATTTTAATACCGAATTTTCGACAATCAAACAGAAATACACTCTAGGAATTATAGAGTGATGCATTGCTGAACGGAAATCTTATGTAAATTTTTAGGCGGCCAAATATTGGTGTGTACATTTTATAGCAAAGTTGTAATATAGCGTTTTGAATTGGCGGGTATGATTAACTCATGTGTCGAGTTTGAAGAAATGTCAGCCAATCTACGTTTTGACAATGACAAAACGAAAATTCATGACAGTAACAATATTTGTATTTGTAATTGTTATACTTTATTGAACCTGGTTTAATTAAAGCTAACATGCGTTATTCAATTGAAGAAGAAGTAACCATAATTAAGTGGGATTATGCATGAAACAATATTAGAGCATGGGCTGAAATGTTTTTTTCACTTTATTTCCCTGCTAAATTAAACATATTATTACGCAATTCGAGTCCAAAGTAACCATAATAAATAACTGCACATGTTAGAGCAGAAGAAAGAGACAATAGAGATTTGAACATTTTAGTGCATGTGGAGGGAAACAAAATGATTGGTACGAGGATTCTTGGACAAGTTGTAAATAAATATCAAATCACAGTGTTGCGCACATTAAAAAACCACAAATATTTTTCCTACAAAAACGAAAAGTACCGATCGCTCCAGGAAGGCTATAAAGAAAGAAGAGGATTTTTTTTGATATGATGAAAAAACCAACAATGTTCAAAACTGTCTTTATTGGACCAAAGATTGGAACCTACTATCCTCAAATTATTGGACTATTTGTTATAGACTATAACCTCACGGCAGAAACCTATTTGCACTTATTACAAAATCAAATTGAACCCTGTGCTACAAAGGTTGTTTGCGAAGATCAGGAGCTCTGGTACCAGTTGGTTGGTTGTCTCGCCGGCTAGCTGAGAATCAAGGCCCTTGAGTCTCTGCAACGGCTTTGCCTGGATGGATCAACAAAGTTTCAACAAAGTTATCGCTGGGTGAGGGCCTTTGCAATGTTTCTGCAAAAATTTCTAATGGGGTCCCAAGGTCGACCATTTATCCCTGCATTATCAATTTTAGTTCAGGCGTAGATCGTTGGCGCTCGCATGGCAATCCCTAATGTAATCTTTGTATGTCTGTTGCACGTAGTGACTTCCCTTTGAATCTCCGTGGCCGTTATTTTAGGCGCATAATATACTGAAAAGGATTCATTTCGTCCGTATTTGCGGGCAATGAACGGCATTTTGTGACTTCCTTAAAAAATGAATGGAGTAATTAATTAATACCTTCTTTGGTTTTGACTAAAAACAATAAAATGTTCTAACAGATATGATTCAGGGTCCATTTATAGTTTATAGTCATCTATTGAAGTAAACACAATTTGAATATTGGGGGTTTAATTATTTTTCTGTCTTTAATAATAATAAAGGACTTTTATTGTATAAAAACAAATATATAATTTTCCGAATTTTCTTCCGCTTGTTCGCCTTGAAAAATTTATTTATACACAAAAGGTACTTACGCACATTAACGTCAAAAAAATAAATAAAATAAAGGGAAAACATAAAACAAAATGTAAGAAGCCTGAAATATCCTAGAATTCGCGAGATCTGTTAAGTAGGTAAGTGCCGATAAAGTTTTTTTTTAGGCTATGTTTGTTTGTATTGGTTCATTTTGAGTTCTTAGTTTATCCTAGAGTTTAATTAAATATATTACTGCTCTTTAATTAAAAAATAAATATTTAAATTCATTTTTTGATTGTAGTACTTTAGCCTGAAGTTTATGAACTATTTTTGTGTTTTCATAAGAGTTTTCAATAGTTCAAAATGGTGTTTAGGGATCCGTAAATATACCTTGTAATGACATCTATGCTGCAGCCTTTGCTGCAAATGCTTTGGAATATGATTTTTTATAATTTTGGTGTAAGCTGGTAATACCTTATATTACTTCCGCAATCGTTGCGCTCTGTTAAAGCTAGTTTGCTTTAAACACCGCTTCACACCAATTTATTTATCACTGAAAGCTCACAAGAATGTTTAGTGAAGTTAATTAAAAGATTCTGGGTTTTTTTACTTTATTTTTTTTACTTTATTTAATAAACACTGGAACTTAACATAAAATAAATAAAACTAAAAAAAAAAAAACTTAAGTGAAAAACACGAAACCTAAGAACCATTTAATATTTTAATTGGAATTTTAGTTATTATTGATAAATTATATTTATTTTAATAAACAGAACGCAATAAGTATTAGAATACAAAATACACTGTATACTTCAATTCACTGAACGTACCTTTTCTTACTGAATGGCAACTATTCGGTAACTTAATAACATTGATGGAAGCTAATTCTGCCTTGGTTTAGAAAATTCTATCTTTAAATATAAGAACCTTCAAATCTCCCCCATAAAAAAGATTCTAGAGGATTTCGCAGGCCACTAGTTCTAATCTAACATTGTCCAAACCCTTCATTTCAAACTTCGCTTAGAATGCTAGCGTTGGGAGCGGGGCATCCATCTTGCTGATAGTAAATACTCCTTCCAAGAATTAATGGTAGGTCTTCCAAGAATGGAACAACAAACAACAAAAGGAAAATTCCTACCCAACATTGAATCCAAAGCGACCTTGCTGATTTTAATACACTACAGCATGAGAATTGTTTATGCTCCAGCGATAAGAATTATGTCTGTTAAATTTTCCTGAAACACTCAATTCCTCCTTTCTTACTCCAAGGGAAATTTGATGGTTTCATTGCATTTTCCGATAAACCAGATGCAAAATTGTATTCCTCTACTGGCATTCCCTTTATATATGTGCTGGACTTTTCTTATTTGTTTCATCGGCTAGTGCCCGTGAGGATATGCTGGGATTTTGCAATACTTCTCCAATTATATTCAATTCCCGGATTTTCTGTTCTTCATTTAAGTGGTTTGATTTTACCTCGGCTCCTTGTCTGGTTGTTGCTGCCCAGGCTATTTGTCCAAATAAAGTTAATTGACTGGCTCTGCGTTTTCGTTTCACAAAATGTAACACTGTATCATATCCTGCTTTTTATAATTTGCTTAATAAGCTTAAGTTCTTCCATTAAAATTATGTGTGACAGAACACAAAATTCAATAAGTAAAAGTTATGTCCTTAACAGAGAGTGACACATATGTACTAATACATAAACAAAAAATGCCCTATATTTCAGCTTTTTTAAACATAAACACCAACAAAGCTATATGGCGCAAGACTATAGTCAACTAGCATTGCCATATAAAATAAGGAAGTTGTATTCATTAATGACAAAACGGAGAACTCTAAATTCAATTCGATTTTGCCCTGTGCAGTTAAAAAATAGTTTTTTTATGTTAAAACAATTTTCTTACGACCGCCCTGTATTGTAGAATATTCATACAAAAATTGATTAAAAATCCAATGAATCAACCCCAATAGCTTTTAATTCGATTTTTGATATTGTTTTTAGAACTTCTGCCTCAGAAATAGTTGCAGTTTATTTTTATAATAATTTTCAATAGTGTTTTTTTCTACGGCCAATTTTCTTGCAAAATTGATAAAATATTGGTTAATGTGATGTATGTTCTTGAGGTTTTCAGGAGGGGATTGGGTTATGAAAGGTTAAGATGTAAATATGTCCAGATTTCTTTAATATTTATATATATCTTTTATATTCGTTTTTATATAACACCTCGCTGATATAGCATCAAAAGCCCTATATATTCTATTGTCGCATTGTAAAAGATGCCTTAATTATTCCAGCCTTTGTATCGGCTAGTCCAAATAAAACTTTATTTTGCTTTCTGTGTAATAAATATTTTTAAAAACGCTCTCGCGAATTTTGAACATTTAAGTGGCGCAGTTGGTAGGATTTTTTGAGTGCAGTAGTGGTGGACAATTAACTAGAATCGTGGAAAGTTCGAAACCTTTGGACATTCGCTACGTGGATTTTCAAATCCTTCAGCACACAGAACCAGCAGCATAGGAAGCAGAACGACAGTCTATGGAAAGGTACAACCCGCATGTGACGAGTTGGAAAATTGAGCCGGAAAGGAGACGGAGAAATACGAAAGCGTGAGTGCCATTTCCTTTTGCCCCTCCAATACCTCTGTATAAGGTCACTTGAAGGGATAATTTAGGGCTCGCAAGACGCGATTAGGTTAAGAAAAAGAGAAAACAAATCAAATCAAATCGAAATCGAAAATCTCGAAAAAGGATTCAATCAAATTTTAAAGTTAGATAATAATAATAATAAAGATTAATAAATTCCTACGTTAGTTTGGGAGATGCGGAACTACCTTCGATTGTATCATAGACAAACTAGTAGGGAAAGCAGAGTTAATGGTAGGCAGCAGATCAGAATTCACAGATTGGTTAAGAATAAAAGATGCGCTTTTTCAATGCTTCGCAGATAGGAGAAATTTAGATTGTCTAATCCAGGCTACAACTTTTAAAGAGTAAGTGTAATACATACATACATACATTGCACCCGGACGCTCAAAAATAACATGCATTTAAAACAACCAGATTATTTAGAGGAAGCCATTGCTTAATGTTTCCGGATTTGAAAATTTCTAAAACCACTTCGCGAATCTAAGCAGCACAACAAAACAATTCCAAATACCAAACTTCCAACAAAACAATGATAAACAATTCCAAACCCCAAATCATCAACAATTCAATACGAAACAATATTTTCAACCATTTCAACAATTCCAAAACTAGACGAATCTAAGTATATTTCAGCCTGGAATAAATCCCAATAAAAATTTCATGCCAAACAAATTTTACAAATTTTCAAATCAAAATCAATTCCAAAAACCACAATTTCCGTCTCAACCAATAAATATTCAACCGAGGCAAATACCTCAAAAACGATTTCCAACAAATCGGGAAGTTTTCGGACCCAGACCAAATGTCTTCCAACCCAATCAAATATCACCCAACCAACTTCCTAAACTGACACAAATGCCAAGTATCTCAAGACAAATAAACAATTCATTTACAAGACGACCGATAAAACAAAATTATTTTACTAACAACAATCAACCTCCGAATTTTATAACCAAGAATGCGATGAAAACTTTGATTATTCTGTTAATCAAAACGAAAATAATGATTGCAACGAATTTGAGGAAAATTATGAACAACATGAGTATGAAAATACATCGCATATCGAACAAAACGTCGAACAAAATTCAAATGAAGAAAAATTTTCACGAACTCAGCCAAACAAACAACTAACCCTAGTGGAAATTAATATTTCTTCTAACAACGCTTTACCGTATATTCAAATACGTTAACCAAATATGAAGCTACTAACAATAATGAAATTACGACAGCAGTAGGAAGTCAAAATACTAGATTTCAAGCTAGCATACAAGCATTTTCTGAATTTAACATCGATTATCGAATAGAGTTTATTTCATTTGATTTTCATGACTTTTTTGACGGAGTAATAGGATCAACTGATTTAATTAATATGAATCTAAACATCGATTCAAAAATAAAAAGAATTTTATTGTAAATCCCCAAATCGGATCTTTAAAAAAAATACTAGTAACTGAAATCGAAGGCGATAATTTTATAAAAAATCAAAAACTACAAAATCTAGGAATACCATATGCAAAAATTCAAAATCCCACGAACGAGACAATATCAGTTACGTTAATACAACCTTTACCTGTTGAACGATTTAACGCTGAACAATACGAATTTTACAATTGTAACATTATATCTGACAATGTAAAAATACGTACGAACCCTCAAAACAAGGACATAAAACTAGTAATCCGTACTCATATTTTCTATAATCCAGGAGATAAGTTGCTATTTACCTCGAAAATCAAGCACGAGATTAGGACAAACAATGAATTACCAGTGCATACGAAGTCATATAGATATCTATTCGTCTACAAATAAGAAGTAAGATGACAAATAAACGATATGCTCGAAAAAGGAATAATAATTAAAAAATCAAGCAGCCTATGGCCAAGCCCTATATGGATTGTGCCGAAAAAATTACACTCATCTGGAACCCAGAAATAGTCTACGACTAACTTTGGGAAGATTAATAAAAAACTATTTCTGATAGATATCCAATCCTGAACATAAAGGATATTCTAGATAAATTGGGACGTGCGCAGTATTTTCCTACACTGGACCTTGCCAGCGGCTTTCATCAGATTGAAATGAAAGAGGACTATATCGAAAAGACAGCTTTTAGCGTAGAAAACGGACATTTTGAATACACAA